AAAAGTGGGTGAAGGGAGACGTCGGACAGGGAAAGATATGACAAAAGAATAATTTATAAATTATCAAGGTTTCATGAGGGAGGGCAGAGCGGGGAGGGAGGGGAAAAATGAGGACCTGATGCCAGGGACTTAGGTGGAGAGCAAATGTTTGGGGAATGACGAGGACAATGAATGTACAAATGTGCTTTATAGAATTGATGTGTGTATGGATTGTGATAAGAGCTGCATGAGCCCCTAATAAAATGATTATTAAAAAAAAAAGTTAAGCAATGTATTAATGGGAAGACCATAACCAGGAGTAACCCTGAGAATCGGCAAAAGAAAAGACAGCAGCAAAAGGGTCCCCCTCCTGCTGGTGCAATTCATGCTCCAAGTTCAGTACCTTCACAATTTCTTCCTGCTTATTCGCTGGTTTCTTTTCGATCTCATCCAACAGAGCTTCGGCTTGATAAAGCCAGGTACTTAAGTGAGCGACGTTTCCATCAAATATCTCCAGCTGGTTCTGATGGCTCTACAAAGGAATTAATAAAATGTTAACACAATCTGGTGTAAATGACAAAAAAAAATCTGCTACAGGTTTCCCCAGCAAACCATCAAAAAGTTCTCATCTTTTCAACTTAACAGTTACTGAACATACACTACCCGCCAGGCCTGGAGAACACGACAAACAATGTTTTGTTGTTTTCTCCCCTTGGGAAACAAAGGTCACAAGAGAGAATGAGAAATATCCAGGCACATACCGAGAGAACAGAAAATGAATAAGGACTGTTTAACGTGACAACCTTAGAAGAGATTTAAAGGTCTTCAAAGAGCAAAACTGTATGCCGAATTGAAGAAAGGTTTTCACCTTTCTGCAAAGCTCTACCCCAGACGGTAAATCTCATTCCTAAAAATGCTTCAGTTAACTAATTTTTTTAAGCTATTTGGTTTAGATCTCAGTACAATAAAAAGTGGGAGAATAATAAAAGATGAAAGAAGGTTGTTTCCCCCCGATTTTACTTCATGTGTCTCCTTTCCTCCTCATTCCTATCTTTTAAATGATCTTCCCCTTCCTCGATCATATTTTTATATTATTCAGATAGTATGAAAAGAAAAAAATTAAATCTAGATTAAGAGAATTAAAAGACAAAAAAGATGAGAAAATTTCAGCAAAAATATATATCTGATAAAGGACTTGTGTCCAAAATAGTCAAAGAACCCTTCAAACTATTAAAGATAAAATATGCAACTCAGTAAGCAAAAGACCTGAACCGGCAGCTCATCAAAGCTATCCACAGGGAAAAAAGCACATACCAACAAAAAAGTGGATACCATGTGTCACTATTGTTGTTGTTGTTTGCCATCAAACAGTTCACAGAAACTCTGTAGGACAGGACAGAACTCGCCCCATCGTTTCCTGGGCTATAATCTTTAGAAAACAAGGTTGCTACTATATATTTCTCCCACAGAGCAGATGGTGGGTTTGAACCACCAACCTTTCTGTTAACAGCCAATTGCTTAATAACTATGTCATCAGGGTCTTTCAAATGTTGTTGTTGTTATTTGTTTTCTTTTTTAAAAAAGCCCTTTCAGAGCTTTAAAAAACATCAATTATGGCTCACAGCAACCAATAAAATGTCTCTATTACGGGAATGGACAGCCTCATCTTTCTCCCACAGATGACCTAGTAGGTGTGAACTGCCAACCTTGTGGTTAGCACCCAACGCCGAACCCACAGTGCCACCAGAGCTTCTTAGGGAAGAGCAAATTAAAACAGGAAGAGGTCATCATTATAGACCTATCAGAATGGCTAACACCAAGACACTGGCAATAGCAAATACTGGCAAAGATGTGGCTCAATAGATATTATGAAGCCATTAAAACATGAATGTCTTTATAGGTCACGCTAGTTAGCATCTTTTCAAAGGAAATAAACTGCATTCTCGGGAATTCATTTGTAAGGGGTCAACTATTCTGACATGCAGATAATAGAATGTGGAGTTCTGGTCAAAGAAGTCTGAGATTTAAAAATTCAAAGGAGACTGTTTTCAGGAAGCGTACCATTAAGGTATTGCACCAATCCTCAGTCCAGGTGCGGACGCGACTCCACCCCGCGTTCAGGACACAGAGCCGCTCCTCCAGCGCCGGCTCACTGCCCTCGATCAAGCTCTGGAGAGCAGCGCTGCTCTCGGTGATGGCACTTAAGTCAGCCTTCTTCTTTTCCAGATCCTTCAGGACAGTCTGGAAAATACAAACAGAGCACACTTGATCTTTCAGGTCATTGTAAAGACTGACACATCCTTCACTGAATATAAAACTTTCCTTTCACAAAAATGTAAAAAGTCCACGGTGACCCCTAAATAAAGTATACGATGTCAAATTTACCATGGTCAAGTTAATGCTGACTCGCAGCAAGGCTGCAGGACAGAGCGGAACTAGCCGGTGAGGTTTCCACAGCTGTAAGTCTCTGAGGAAGCAGACGGCCGAGCAGCTTGTGGATGGGAGCTACTGACATTCGGGTAGCAGCCAAGTGTTGAATCATGGCACCACGAGGTCTCCTTGCAATATGGCCAGGGTTTACACAACTCCAGAATGTATTATTAATATGATCAGTGTTCTTATATTCTTAATGAAAATTTAAATTTTAACTGTACAAATACCAAAGGCTAATAACACATGTGGAAGATATGATTACTAGATGTCTCTTATGTGTGAATTGTATTTATCACACACACACATCAATTCATGATTCTAAACCAAAATCCACTTCATTTTCAGTAAGTAGAAATATCATAAAACACACCAGGCTAAAGCACTTCCTAACAAATTTAGATTCCAAGCAGAAACTATTAATAAGTTCTACATTTAATTATAAGGATTACACCCTGTAACTAGATGATTTGTCTTAGAATCAGTTGTATAAACATCACATAAAACATTTCATCTTTAATAAATCACAGGAGGGCCATCCTGTCTATGACTGTCCAAATATAACACGATAGGATTCTCATGCAGTGATCATAATGGCATTCATAATTTTACCAGGCATGTAGTCTAAGAATTATAGAGGGAATATCAGCCTCTATAATTAAAGCTACAGAGATTTCTTTCACATAAAGCAACATGAATCTAACCTACTCCTGTCACACCTTTTTAAAACCAGCACCTACAGTGGTCATTTTAAGGGGCCCGAGTGTTTATTGATCTCACATCATTACATCACGGTTTGAAAGGCAGAAAACTAGCAAACACACAAGCAAATCCAGGTGGAAGCACTCATTTGGCCACGTCAATAAGTGGGATGTGCATGAAGAGACTGAAGCATTTCTTTCAAGTATTATTCTCCAGCAGAAGAAAGCAAAATACCCACCCCCATGTTCTCTGCAGCCAAGACTTCCTCTGTTTGCTCAGAAGCCATACACTGTTGCCATAACCACACGTATTTGAATTGAAACAGTATACACGCTGCTTATGCTGATACATTTTACTGTCCTGAAACTACAGCTATTTCAGTTTGGGAATGGAAATGCTATTTTTAAGGTATGTGTAGAAAACAATTTTGCAACATTTTTAGAGATAATACATTAAAATGTTGGGACATACTCATCCTCCTTTAATCTGAACACACAAAACTAAAAAGAGAATACTACGTGCTAAAGCGTCATTTGATTTGCTTTATTGAAGCGAATGGTCTGTGAAATGGTGATTTATGAATGTCACCTTCATTATTTCAAACCAGAAGTAAAAGTACATGGAAATTCAAGCGTGTTTTCCAGAAGAGAAAAATGTACCCTTATCTATATTCATCAACTGAAAAATGGCAATTGTGTCAAAACTAGTTGAATTGAGAAGTGTGCAAAAGCTGGATCATTAAAATTAAATATACAAAAATCAATATTATCTAGGTACTAGTTATAATCAAAAAAGAAAAAGAAACAATAGCACACTTCTAACGTAGTCATAAAAACAAAATAAATATGTAGAAATACATTTCTTTGCATGTATATGGAGGAAATGTTCATAAAGGAAAACAATGATATTAAGATGTAAATGAATTGAGTAATATTCAACACACACTATGTCCCCAAGAAGACTGAATTGGTAAGTCTGTCCAGTCCTGTTGTCAAGGGTGTAGTTAAACCAGCAAGTGGAAATTCTCATTCCCAGCTGGTGGGTACTACATCTCTGCAGGACAATTTTATAAGGGTAGGACTTTAACATGAGTATGTCCCTCGATGCCATAATTGTAAGGCACAGAAATCATCCTCTATGCATGGCACAGAATAACTATGCATGGATGCTATGGTTTAATGTCAAGTATATTCATCACAGCATTGTTTACAATAGTAAAAATTTGTAATAATGGACATGAATGGAAGAATGGAAAAATTTAAAATATATACCATGCAATGAAAAAAAATTACATATTTTCCATCAACCATACAAAATCAGTAATAGGTAAAGGAATATGTCAACCATACAAAATCAGTAATAGGTAAAGGAATATGTCAACCATACAATATCAGTAATAGGTAAAAGACTATGAGACCGAAGTTTTTCAAGAAGGTCATGGAATACTATGCAAAAAAGGGCCATTCGTTTAAAATGCATCTGCATGTGAATGTACCCAACCCGAGGTGCCTCAACGCAACTTAGAAGATGACAATGTCCTTTGATTGGACATGATTTTTGTACCTGTCTTTTTTGATCATACATGAAAATTGATTTATATCATTAAAAAATCATGATTGTCTATAGTGTTGCATACACAGAGAACCGTATTTCCTTGAAGTTTACGAGTCTATGAAAATAGTTTCCATTGGGTGCCCTTGTTTTGCTCTCCTCCTCCACACACCCATGATTTCTATCTTCCCTCATTCCTTCGCTGAGACCTATCTATCGCCACCTCCGGTTCTCCTCAGGCAGCGTTGCTCAGAACCCTCATGAGCCATTTGCAAAGCAGAGAAGAGTCTCTATGGTGCCTAATAGCTTGCCTTTCCGTCTTCATGTGTTATTTCGAGAAACCCCGGTGAAGGAGTTGTATCACCACACTCCTTCCGTGCACTTTTCACCGCTGACTACAAGCATGTAAACTGATCCTCCTGGCTTTGTATAAATGTCTACTTCTGTGCCTGAATTCCTTTTCAGCACTGCCTCTGTAGGCCTCAATGGAAAAACTACTGTGTGTTCCATTCCACTCTTCAGCCCCCTCAGGAGAGAACAATGATTCTATAACCAAGATTACAGTGAGAATACAGGGCAAAGCCGCCAGTCCTCTTGTCACCGTCTCTCTCACACTGTGCTGGGCCGCATGTTGCAGTGATGCTGGAAGCTAAGCAACAGGTACTTCCTATACCAGCGGGGCACCCATGGTAGACAGGCTTCAACCACGCTTCCACACTAAGACGGACTGGGAGGAAGGACCAGCTATTGTACTTCTAAAAAATATTTTTTTGCAGTGAAACCTTATGAATAATAATGAAAAATCACCCTATCTATTGCTATAAGAAGAAGTCCTTAGGTTACCAGGCACTCAAATTGAGACTGGGGAAGTAGAGTTAACCTTAATGACTTCAATGGAACAAAGTTTTGGGGATGTTCATTCCTCATGTGGAATGACTCAAAATGAGAAGACACGCTGCAAACATCCATTAATAGCATGAACGTGAATTCAATGTACTCAGTATGAATCTAAAAACTGGAAGTCATCAAAAACGGAATGGAAAGCTTGAAGCGAGAGTTCTTCGGGATTAGTGGGCTGAAGTGGACTGGTATTGGCAATTTTGAACTGGACAATCCTATGATGAGGGCTGGTGTCCCAGCTATTGTTAAAAAGAACTTTGCAATATCAATCCTGAAGGACAATACTGTCAGTGAGAAGACCCATCCATCTGCAGGAAAGACCAATTAATGTAACCACTATTCAAATGCAGACACCAGTCATGAATGCCAGCATAACACAGAAAAAAGGATGGCACATAGAAAGTAAGCAAAAAGCCTCAGAGGGCAGCTCAAGAAGACAAAGTACAGTATCACACCGAAATATATAAAGACCTGCACTTAGAAAACCAAAAAGGGAAGAATATGTTCAACATTTCCCCTGCTGAGAGAAGTGAAGAAAAAAAATCAATACAGAAGGGTTCTATAGGCAAAGCATTGAACAACTCAAGAAGCACCAAAAGAAAATAGATTACACAGAGCACTGTATCAAAAAGGACTAATCAATCTAAAACTATTTAAAAGGTAGTATATAATCAAGAACTGATGGTATTGAAGGAAGAACTCCAAGCTGCACTGAAGTAATTGGCCAAAATCAAGCTCCCAGCATTGATGGGCTGACTACCAGTGGAAATGTCTCAACAGAGAGATACATGCGGGAATGACATCTAGTCTAGAAGTTTGGGAGACAATTATCTAGCCAACCAACTGTAAGCGTCCATATTTCTGCCCATTCCACAGAAAGGTGGGCCTATGACATATTATCTAGCAATATCAATAATTTTTACATTCAAGAAAAATGTTGCTGAAAATAATTTTAAAAGCAGTACACCTCAACAGCAAAGTCAAGCTGGATTCAGAACAGGATACGGGACAAGGGATGTCTCCACTTAGACACATTTTGGCTGAATAAACACAATACCAGAAAAGTGTTTGCCTATGTTTAGAAATGTTTGCTTATGTATAGGCACTTGACTATGTGGGTCATAACAAACTAAGACTAACATTGAAACCTGCACACAGGCAAAGAGGCAGCTATTCCAACAGAGCAAGTAGGTACTGCCTGGTTTAAAATCAGGATACAGATGCATCAAGCATGTATTCTCTGGACAATAAGAAAAAACAACACAGCATGAGGATTGAAGAAAAACTTGTTAATAACACGCAATCGGCAGGTAACACAGTCCTGCTTGCTCGAAGAACTTGCTGAAAAAGGTCAAAGACTATCTTCCATATAGACCCTACCTCACTATAAGAAAAACAAAAATCCTCACAAGAACAGAAAGCAACATCATGATAAACATTGATGGTGTCAAGGATTTAATTTACTTAGATCCACTATCAACTTGACTGATGGCAGCATCAGTCAAGAAATCAAACAATGTATTTGTCAAGCAGTGAACTGTTTTTTTAAATCATTTTATTGGGGGCCCTTACAGCTCTTATCACAATCCATGCATCCACCCGTTGTGTCACAAGCACATTTGTACATTTGTTGCCCTCATCATTTTCTTTCTACTTAAGCCCTTGATATCAGTTCCTCATTTTCCCTCTCCCTCACTTTCCCTCCCTCATGAACCCTTGATAATTATAAATATATAACCCCCACACACACCCCAAGTAGGGAACTATTTAATAAGCTTCTTCCAGCCATAGCATTTACTCCTCCAATTAACAAACTTCGCTTTCCTGATGGGTCAGAGTAGGATGGTGGGGAAAGATACTGATTGAGTTCTATGATTCAGCTGCACTTGTTAACGAGGCTCGCCGTGAGTGCCATCCTATCGAGTATAGAATAAGCCCGCTCAGAAGCAGGCACAGAGGTTTTCACAGGAAATGGATTCATTGGTTATTTTTTAAATTGTTTACTTCTGTCTTTATATGACTTATTTTGCAATAGAAAACCAAGTGATTGGTAGTAAAAAATTCAACAAAATACTCTGCAAAGATTGACTACACACAAAAAAGTCAATGATTTGAAAAAAAAAAAATTTTCTTTAATTTAAAAGCCAATGATTTGAAAGCCGTAATTGCAATCCTTTCAAGTGCTATACTCCCTAAGCATCACCTCGATAAAACTCTTCATTATCTAAGTGAGCTTAATACTTTGGGAATCAAGATAATTTACCTTGTTAAAACCATTGTTTAAATATTCTTTTTGGAAACACACAAAAAAATGGAAAACTAATGGGAAAAGGAAAGGCTACATTTAATATGAAATGGAGGGAAACGACATCCACCCAGATTGCCCTGAACCAACGCCACAGGCCAACACCTGGGGAACATGGGGGGTCCATCAGAAGCCTAACTTACCTTAGCCCAGGAGATTTCTGTGTCCAAGTCAGAAAGCAAACCTTCTGAAGTGGATTTCTGTACCAACTCAGCTTCGGTAACGGAAAGCCACTCAGAGAGAGAAGCAGCCTCTTTCTTCACTTTCCTGGCCAATTGTGATCCTCTTTCCAGAGTCTGCTTTCCCTCTGTCACCTGAAAGGAGAGAGAGTTTGAGCAGGAAGGCGGGCATGAATAGTAACTAATGACCCAACTGATTCACAGTTAACCCCTAAGACACACATCATAGGATCCCTGGTGACTCAACAGTTATGCTTTCAGCTGTTGACCTACATGTTGCTGGTTTGATCCCACCCAGTGTCTCCACAGGTAAAGAACTAACCAGGAGCTCTTATAAAGACTATATAGCCCAGTGCACCTTTGGGGCAATTCTACTCTGTAGCCTGGAGCCACGATGAATCAAATCAACTCAATGACACCACACCCACCAACAGCAGACATAATCACCTTGATCTCTAGGACCTTTGAATTAATGTATTTTTGCAATATCTTGACTTATTAAATGTCAGGTGAAACTAAGTTTTAATCTCAGCTCAGCCATGTATTAGTTTATGTGGTCTTGATTGGGGCATAGCCTCTAAAAGTTAGTCATGACTTAAACAATGAAAACCATAAATACAAATAACCTTGGTTCAAGAATTGGAAAATGGGCTAAGGGGTCAATAGTAAATCAAAAACCCAAACTCACTGCATCAACTCACGTTCGGGTCATAGTGCCTTTAAAGCACAGAGTAGAACTCCCCCTGTGGGTTTCTGAGACTGTAAATCTTTGAGAGACTAGAAATCTCATTTTGCTTCTAAGGAGCAACTGGTAGCTTTGAATTGCTGACCTTGCTGTTAGCAACCACGCATAGTCCAGTATGCCACTGGGGCTCCCTCAATAAGTAGTATGTTATTATTTTGTACAGAAGATGCCTTATAATTCTTTCAGTGAAGGACTCCTGAAAACACACGCCCACACATTATTTCCTACCCATCTAAGACAATAACTGTGCTATTTTCTCAATTACTTATTAATTACAATTAACCAATTAAGAGAGCAAATGATTATCAACTTTTATTATTTTGTTGTTACATTAACATAGATAGAAAAAAAGGAACTAAACTTATTTGTATCAAACTCTTAATATGGTTCCCACATGCTGCCAAGGAATCTTACAAATTTACAAA